AGCTTCAGATATTGGTCAAGCCAGTCACAGACTCCTTTAGGGAGCAGGGGACACCCCTTCCCTCTTGATACTACAAAGCCTCCTTCCCACAGCTGGTCCTTTTTACTCCGGTCTTGAGTGCAGTTCATGTGCCCCTGCATGGCATGCTATGTCCTCCCTAGACTGTAATGTATGCGACTGGTAAAATGCTGTCAATCTCCTCTGTCCAATGGTGGATCCTCTATGTTCAGCCAATTTCATGAGCCTAGGATAAGAATCTCTCCTTCACCCACCGGGTGAAGAGAGGATACAGTGAAACCAACACCCTGATGAAGTTTCCCCATGTTTGAAGTAGCAGTGATCTCAAAAACAAGGTCTGTTATCAGTATCTATAAAAGTGAGTTCCTTGGCTTTTTACTTATAAAAATCATAAGTTTTTTCTCAAAACTGGTAGAATTTGGGCTGGGGATTAACTCAGTGGTGCCTCTGCCAGCCTCGAAAGCACAAGGTCCCAAGTTTGATTCCCGGTACCAAAAAAAAAAACTGGTAGAGTTGTTTTTCAGAGGAATTGTGAATTCAGGGCCATATTTAAAAGTTATCCTTGAAGGGAACAAGAGAGGAGGGAGGGAGAAAGGAAGGAAAGAACAAGAAAAAATGTGAAATAAAAGGAAAAAATGGAGACAAAGCTTTGGTACATAAGGAAGAGAGGGGGCTTGAGGGAGGGAATAGGATAAAATAAAACATATTTTAAAAATCAAAGAATTAAATTTAGTGATTCCTTGATAAGTTAAACATACAATTACCATGTGATTTGGCAAGTCCACTCCTAAATATAAACTCAAAAGAATTAAAAATAAGTGTTTCAAAAAAAAAAAAGTTAGGGGCCAGGGATTTAGCTCAGTGGCGCGTGCCTGACTCACAAGTGCAAGGTCCTGAGTTCAATCCCCGTTACCAAAAAAAATTTATCCTTGAAGAGATGAACCTAAACAATGTCAAAATAAAATGCAAATCACTATTGATCAATTTTCATGACTGTTTGTTAACCTTAATACTTTAGTCCTTTAGAGAAAGGACTTTAGGCTG